GAACTAGGAAGTTTGTTAATCATGTTAATATTGATCTACAACCTGTGATTATCATATTTCAAAACAATATTGAATATTTTCAGAAAATTTTTCTTCATTGATCATGTTGATAATGCTTACTTTATTTTTATAATACAGGTGTACATGTACCCACCATATTTTTTGGTTGCCATGGTTTTAAACAACTCAATGAGGGGTGGGTAATACCCTGCGGTGACCTCAAACCTTTCTCTGGAGATCAGGAGACATTTGGCAGTGGTCCCTCCCACCAGGGTGGTCTGTGTGGAACCCCCCAAAGAAGCAACAGACTCTGCGATCTTCGCCAGCTTTGCCTCAGAAGCATCTTGACTTGACCCTTGCGACACAGGCTTATGGAATTTCGACTGATTTCCCTGTGTCTTAAATTTATTTGCCAGTCCTGTGTTTGAGGCATTAGTCTTGTTATTGTTTGAGTCACCAGCGTTGTTAGATCTTGAGTAACTATTACATGGAATCCCACTTTTCACAGTGTTTTTATTTTGTCCTAGAGCAACAGGGTCCTTGTATGAGTCTGCTAGTCTCTGCTTCACAGAATTAGGGGTTTGTTGATTATAAAATGTACTAGATGAGCTAGTCATCTGGGATGTACATGTAGTACCGTTCCTTTCATTTCCTGTGGAATTGTTCACAGATTTAAACTGACAATCTTTCACTGCATGGACTATGTTTTTCAGCACGAAGAGCAAGAGCTCTTTGCCTGTTCTCTTCAATTCGCTGTTTTTGATCTTGAATACCGCATTTTACTGGACTTCGTTTTTCGGCCCTTTTAGCCAAAGCTTTTCTTTTATTTTCCTCGATTCGCCTCTTTTGTTCTTCAGTTAAAGATGACATGTCTTTTTATTCCACGAAGAAAAACACAAATTATTACTCCATTTCACATTTCAATAGGACAGTAGTAATCTGAAAGTACATGAAGATATGATATCCATAAGCATGATAAGTGATATACATTACATCGATCTTATGATTTTGAGTCTGTATGATAGAATTGCATGAATACCTGGAAATATCAATGGATGTTCATAATTAGGCCTATATTATTCCCCCAAAATCTATAATCCTATATTAATTCCCAAAATTATAACAATCCTGCCCCTGTACTTGTGTGATGGTTTGGGCCATGGATATCCGCCTGGATAGCTCAGTTGGTAGAGCACCTGACTGGAGATGCATGGGTCCAGGTCCAGCCATACATTTTTTTTCCTTTCCTGTTACACTTGTAACCGTTTGTGGGACAGAGTCAAGATCTGACTTGGGGGCAATAAAAATTAGACAAGCTCACTTTTGATCTCAGTCTCCCTTTTTCCAAAAACATTAATAGTGGAAAAATGCGACTGAGATAAAAAGTGAGCAAAGATGTCAAAACCCCTATATAACAGAAAAATTGATTAGCATGATTAGGAATGGATCACTCAGGAATTTCGGATTAAAAGATGTGTCAATGCTCTAGCATGAACTGCATGCACAGCAAATTATTTCTCACCAAGTTGGATATTATCATAGTTATGAATACCATAAAAATAACTCGATATATTATTTTATCACTTTCCTTGTTTGAAACGCTAGAAAGAACCGTAATACATAAGGCTAAGATCATTGATATTTCATGATTTGGGGAGTGGTTTAGTGTTTTAATCTATATCAAAGGTTCTTACCAAAGATGTCGTTTTAAAGACATGTGAAAGAGACCTTATAACACACAAATGTTCTCCCAAACTGCATAATTTATGAATTTCATCTCCGACGAACTTTCACTTCAGGCTTCACCTTTCGAACTTCCGCGTAAAAAATAGCGGTAACAAGTCGATTCGACCTTAGTTATATTCGGTCCGTGTAACAAAAACCTTCTCGCTTCGATTAAAAGAAAATAACGTTGAAAGAAAGTATCTCAGGATTTTGTTATAAGTTTTCTTTTCATCTAATTTTTCTCACACATGAATTTATGACAAAATATTAATGATTCTAAATTTTAAGTGGTCACACCCTAACAAAAAAATACTATAGTAAACTATAGTTAACTATAGTTTACTATAGTTAACTATAGTACCAAAGTTAAAACTTTGGAACTTTGATTTACTATGGTGAAAACTTTGGAACTTTGATTTACTATGGTGAAAACTTTGGAACTTTGATTTACTATAGTAAAAACTTTGGAACTTTGATTTACTATGGTGAAAACTTTGGAACTTTGATTTACTATGGTATAAACTTTGAAAGTTGAAACTTTGATTTACTATGGTATAAACTTTGAAAGTTGAAACTTTGATTTACTATGGTAATAACTTTGGAACTTTGATTTACTATGGTGAAAACTTTGGAACTTTGATTAAGTACTTTAAAACGTGTGGAATTATGGTTTTGATTCTCATTTTGTACATTTTATGAAATGTCAAGAATAAGATTTATTACAGCTTCGATGAACATTTAAAAACCCGAATCGTCCCCTAAAAGAACAAAGTACATGAAATGAATCTTAATGAATAAATTGTCCTTGCACCGATAAATAAGCAATATTTATTATTATTTATGGAGAAAAAATACTATAAGATAAAAAAATCCGTCATTTAGAATAAAAATATTGGCTTTTTAAACATCCGTCAACATGTTTTTCTACCGTTCAATGTAAATATTGCATTTAAATAAATTACTTTGCATATTTAAATTGAGATGAACAACAAAAATGAGCCCCCCCCCAAAAAAAAAACCAAAATCATCACTCTTAAAACAGACTAATAATTCAAAAAAACTTATTAAAAACATACAAAAACTTTAATACTTTGATATAGACTTTGGAACTTTGATTTATAATGGGAAAAACTTTGGAACTTTGAATAACTATGGTATAAACTTTGGAACTTTGATTTACTATGGTGAAAACTTTGGAACTTTGATTTACTATGGTATAAACTTTGGAACTTTGATTTACTATGGTCAAAACTTTGGAACTTTGATTTACTATAGTAATAACTTTGGAACTTTGATTTACTATGGTGAAAACTTTGGAACTTTGATTTACTATAGTGAAAACTTTGGAACTTTGATTTACTATAGTAAAAACTTTGGAACTTTGATTTACTTTGGAAAACTTTGGAACTTTGATTTACTATAGTGAAAACTTTGGAACTTTGATTAACTATAGTTAACTATAGTAAACTATAGTTAACTATAGTTTACTATAGTATTTTTTTGTTAGGGCAGTTACAATATCCACAATGTTTTCATATTTAAAAATCCGTATTATAAGGTTCTTTTTGACTTTAAGGAAGACAATAAGCCCGTCATTTTTTCCAGTGCTAGAGCACTTGAGTTTGGATATTTAACATGCGCTCACATTTACATGCCTTCCTCAAATAGCAAGAGATTCCGTTTTATTGTCGTCTATAACATGTATTAGGAAGAATTCTCAGCGGCAGACTGCCTTAATTAAATTGCTCTTCCTACATTTTCATGGAAATATACACGCATGCATTTTTTAACTAGATTCTTTGAACTTGCTAAAAATTTGATCGAAGGAAGGTCTTGTGACCATTTACAGGGACACATCAGGGGCGTAGTATCCGGGGGGGCCAGGGGGGGCCAGGCCCCCCAACTTTTTCTCCCGACATTACCTTTACTATAGAAAATGTTTACTGAAAGGAAGGTTGGCCCCCCCACATTGCAGCAAAGGGTAGTGTTATAAGGAAATTAACCCCAGAAAGTTTGAATTGAAAGACATTTGGTATTGAAAAGAGTTAGCCACTACCCCCCCCCCCCCCCACTATAGAAAATGTTTACTGAAAGGAAGGTTGGCCCCCCCACATTGCAGCAAAGGGTAGTGTTATAAGGAAATTAACCCCAGAAAGTTTGAATTGAAAGACATTTGGTATTGAAAAGAGTTAGCCACTACCCCCCCCCCCCCCCCCCCCCCCCCCCCCCCCCCCCCCCCCCACGAAATAGGATTTTCGACTTCGGGCAACTTTTAATTTTTGGTTTTTTTTTTTTTTTTTTTTTTTTTTGCTTGTCAACTTTTTCAGGTAAGTAAAAAAAAATTTTTCTCAGGTTGGCCCCCCCACTTCCAAAAACGATGCTACGCGCCTGCACATAAGTGTAGGAACAGGGGGTGCTGGGGCTTACACCCTCCCCTTTTTTGCAAAGATATACAGACATAATATAGGCATTGAACATAGGGGCGTACGTTTACCTCCCCCCCCCCCGGTTTTCAACGGACACGCCGCAGTTTAGGTAAAAAAATGGTAAGTAGAAGGAAGTTCGATCCAATCCCCATCCCAATCCCCAATGTAGGATTTTTGTGTTTGGACAATGGACACGTATTTTTGCTCTTCAAGTTTTTTTTTACTTTTTTTTTTTAATTTAGCCCCCCCCCCTTTCAATTTGCTTCGGACGCGCCGGGCAATTCAGATTTATACAATGATATATAAACTATCCAAAGTATATACAGATACTAGTATAGTTTGTCATTTGCATGAGCCTCGGGCTACGTATTCTTATATTGAAAATTCTATATGTGCATAGAAGAAAATCGCAGAACACATCCTTCAAAGAATGGAGACGAGCTTGTTTGTTATGCTGGAAGAAATCTTTGAGGTTTCCTTGTTTTATTTGAAAGACAATCTAGAGAGGAGATTCATGTCTGAGTGAAGTAAAACCCTTCTATCCTGTTACTCAATGCTGGGTTTTGTGTTTTTAGGGCCGAGTTTTTGCGATGAATAGAAATATGTCGTTACCAAATGAAGACGTTCTTTGACTGAATTCAAAACTTATCTTTTCCAATTCTCTTCACTTTTTCCCCAGAATTAATGGTTTGCAATTTCCATAATATTCAGAACTAAGAGGTCATAGATCTATTTTTCAATGGAACTGCTAATCGTTGATGAAAAAAGAGATCAAACACATATTGTAGTCATCGATTAAGATATTTCTTCTATAAAAGGATTCAAAAAATGTTAAAACAAAAAAGAAAATAGGGAAACACACAAAAATGTTTTATTTAGAGAAACTTCCTCTCATGTTCTTACATACTGTAGATTCACTACTTAAGAACAGGTGTAAGTAACCTCAACGTATTTGTACGTTCCCACACAAGGATCCGCAGCGCCAGGAAAGTCTTGCAGTTCAGTCGGAATAGGACAGCGGGTTTCACCATCACAACTGCCGGATAACTGGTCACGCACGTCTAATCGGCAGTTTGTATTGTCCAGACTTGTTCCAGTAAATGGACACACAACAGCTTCAGGTTCGGTGCGACCAAAAATGGCGGACTCAATTTTGAGTGTTTTGGGGCTTTCACAGCGGATTTCCCCGTCATCAGACTCGCAGATTATTATCGTCCTTTGTTCTTGAAAAGAAAATGCAATTTAATCATTGATTAATCTTCAATTTCTAATTTAAGGTTTATTGATACTATGTCACATGTAAGAGAGATAACTCTTAATGATATGTCTATTATTCCTTTATAGATTTACCAAGTTAAAGTCTTTTTTTTTTGTCATTTTTTTTAGGCAAGGTATGCTATAATTGTTTCTTTTTTTACTTTTAAAATACATTTCTTTTGGAAATTCGTTAAAGTTCAAGCAACATTGTATAACAACAAGCAGAGGGTTTATGAACCTTAAATGACCTTTTCAGAAACTTAAAGAAAAAATAATAAACATGTACCGGTCTTATAGATTAGACTTTCCCCCAATATCTTTCCCTGGCTCTAGAATAGACCCACCCGGAAAACTGGCTTTTTATAGTAGACCCCCCGGAAAACTGGCTCTTTATAGTATAGGATTTACCCTATGGAAATCCCACACTAGAGTCAAATTTTCGGGGGGAAATCGTACTCTGTGTAGTAGTTATAGTGTGCGATTTCCCCAAGAGCCAATCCCCCCCCCAATAAAATAAAATTGCTCTACTTATTTTTGAGGAATGGTTGGCTTGTTGTTACAAGTGTCACTTCTTCAAAATGGCCAACAATTGTAGTGAACATACGTATACGAAAAAATGAACATGAAAATTTTAAATCTTATTATAAACCATTTTCTAAATCAAACACTAGTGTAAGATGAAATTGGAGAGGAATACAGCTGTATATAAGTTAATTTCCTCTGCGTCTGTCCGTCCGTCTATCTAGCTGTCCCTATATATGTATGTCTGTGTGTCCTATATAAATGGTTTTCCGCACTGTTTTTCCTAAATGCTTGAACATGTTGAAGATAATTTGGCGAAAAGTTCAAGTATGCAACTTTACAGTTCCACATGTTTCTTAAAATATAAAATATATGAAATTAAGTTTCCCTTGCTTCAAAGTTTCTGGGGACATTTTCAAGAATGTTCTTATGTTCTTGAGCATTTTAATATTTTACGCAATCCAGACATTCATTTTTTGTTTTGTTTCATCATATTTTGAGGATATTTACATTTCTTCTGAAAGCTGTATATTTTGGTTGATATTCCATGCTTTGAAATTCTTACACAACATAAGTTTAAAAAAAAAAACAGAAAAAAACACTCATTTACCTTTTAAAAATCAGTTTGTCGTATATATCCTTGGGGGGGGGGGGGGCACAAATGTTGCGGCTGTGCATGGTTTATATTGATTATAACGAAGAGGGAAATCCTACTCTGAGAAAGAAAGAGGGGAAATTTGGCTCTGGTGTGAGTCTCGACTTCCCCTCGGGGAGACATCCTACTCTAGAGAACGATTTCCAGGGGGAGGGGGGGGGGGGAGCTGGCAATGGGGGAAATCCTTCTCTATAAAACACCGGTACACGTATGTGTATATATAAAACACCGGTACACGTATGTATATATATATATGTATACCCACCAGGTCTTTTTGCTTCCTCTAACTCGTTCTTTAACCTATTGTTCTCTTTTTCACACTCCGACAATGAATTTCTTAAACTGCTTTTTTCCATTTCTTAAACATCAAATATTGAAATTTATATTTATATTAGGAAACAATTACTCTCAACATCAACTTAAAACATCTTTTTTTTTTCTTTAAATAATAAATATGCAATATATATATATATATATATATAATATATATATATTCTATATATATATATATATATATATATATATATATATATATATATATATATATATATATATTCCTAAAAGTATAATGGAATTAATTATCTCTTAATTTCGCGTGAAGCACCACACGCGAAATAAAACTACTCGACTTTATTTTTATAGTGCTGAAATCTATGTAAATTCTCTTAATCAACTGCCCATTCGCGAATTATTCTCGCGATTTGACGTTGAACAGCCCATTCGCGATAATAAGTACTCGCGAAAAACAAGGAATCTACAGTAATTGTGACCACTCTCACCTCGCTTCTTAGCCTCATCTTGGCATTCCAGTAACTTGGTGAGTAAATTGCTTTCAACATCTTCAAAAGAAAAATTTAAATACAACTTATAGACTACATGAATTGTGTAAATCTTAATCACACATAAATGCTAAAAAATCTTAATAATACGAACAGAATTTCTCCCATTTCTTTAATGAATTATCCGGTATGAGTTATATGTCTTTTATATAACACTGTATATATTGAATTTACAATAGTGAATTAATCAGTAAATATCAATTGTAATTTTTTTTTCAAATTTTCATTAGATAAAAAAAAATACCCTCTAGTTTCCTCGCATTCATCGTAATAATGCTGGTACCTAAATCAAATGAATGAAAAAAAGATACGCGTCAATATCGTAGAACAGAAAAGAAATGATAATTTTTCCAATGTTTGATTTATTCAAAAATCGGGAGAATAAAAACACAGCGAATCTTTGAAGAATATATATATATATATATATATATATATATTGAAATACTAGTATATGCTAAGTTTGCAAAAAAATCATAAAAAAACAGAACTTTTAATTGTTTTAAAAATATTTTTAAACATAGTTTACTATGTTAATAAGTTAATACACTTTAAAATTCAGACCAACCTGACAAAAACATGACTCCACACACCGTAGCGAGGCCTAATGGGAGCAAAAGAGGAATGGCTGAGGCACCGACAGGGTCAATGGGCACCAGCGGGGGATTTCCGGACCCCTGTATCAATGGCGCTGACATTGTGATCTGAAGATATAGATATACATGTTCGAGGGTTTTACCTTGCATTTATTTTTGGAAAGGTTAACGTTGCCACTAGGGTTTTCATATTCACTTATGAATTGCACCCTTTCATTTGGTTCCATTATTTTTTTACCACATGACATTGACCTTGGAATATGACCTTCTTAAAAAGATCACAGTAACCTTGGCATTTTTCTGAATGATTAATATTAGAATTGTAATTTATATTTCATATGTGTATCTTTTGTAAAAAAAAAATACCTTTCTTTGGATCTCGGCATTTTAAAAAAATTATTGATCATGACCTTAACATCCTACTTTTGAAAAAATCTAATGTTGGCCTTGACCTACCATGCGGGTCCTTTAGTGTTTCAACTCATCTCTTTTTTAAGCCCCCCCCCCCCCCCCCCCCCCCGTAATAGAAGATTCCGGGGTATACATGCATGTATATAGTTTTTTATGCCCCCATAATCCCAGATTCTGGTATTTTTGTCCTGTCCGTCGGTCTGTTTGTCCGCGAAAACGTTAACCTTGTTCATAACTTTTGAGTGGGTAGTGCTGTAATTAGCATTCATACTTCACAGGTATATTCTCTGTGACAAGACCTTTCTTTTGAGTACTAGTAACTCATGACTTCTTGACCTTGAGTTTGACCCACTTTTACAAAAACATTATCACACTTTAACTTTGGTCATACGTTTTGAACAGCTGATGCAACTGGGCTTTCAAACTTTACATGTGTATACATGTATATGCATTGTGACAAGACCTAGTATTTTTGGCCTTGACCTAAGTGTTTAACCCACTTTTTTAAAACTTGATACTTTTTCAACGTTCAGTTAGAACAAGGGCATTCATATTTCACAGGCGTATTCCTTGTGACAAGACAGTCCTTTGGGGATAAATAATTTTGACCTTGGTCTTTAATTAGAGTTCGACATGGATTTGAGAAAAATCAACCCTAGACGTAAAATGCTATACAGGGACATCAGTGTTTTACAAAATTTTTTTTTTTAAATTTAAAGTCAAAATATTGCAAGAAATTAAAATACAGTATCGCTCTACAAATAATAGTCAATTAAGTTATTAAAAGATTGTCTTTACAATGCATATGCACATTAAGTACAAGGTACTATATGAAAATGACAAATAAATTATAACTATAAAGTCACGTGCCACTTCATAGACATCAAGTCCTATTCAGTCCCACTGAAAAAATCTTTTAAGAGAGAGAGAGAGAGAGAGAGAGATTTAGAGAAAGAGAGATTGGGAGAAAGAGAGAGATCATTACCTACACAGTCCTTCTAACAGCTATGCTGATATATATATGCTTAAATTGCATATGTACAAATTCCAACATTAACGCAACATTTCATGCCTTTCTCACCTGACTTGCACTTTAATAATTGCCTCAAGACAACAAAATTACCCGTAAGTGATAGATGTCTATGTCATTTTTTATTTCTCTCTTGTTATGATGTTTCTGTAAATATAAGCTATTCATTGGTTGAAGAGAATATTGCCTATCCTTATTTTGTGTTTAACAAATACATGAAATATACGTGTAATACATAATCGAGGGATACCCGAGAGTACAGGTACATATTGCCAAAGTGTGCATTTTTATTTTATAAATATGCCAGATCCATTCAAACTATGAAGATGATTGAATAGAACCCTAACAAAAAAAACTATAGTTATATAACTATAGTTTACTACAGTTAATTATAGTAAACCAAACTGTCAAAGTTTTCGCTAAAGTTTTTCAAAATGTCAAAGTTTTCAATAAAGTTTTTCAAAGTGTCAAAGTTTTCGCCAAAGTTTATTTTCAAAGTGTCAAAGTTTTCGCCAAAGTTTTTCAAAGCGTCAAAATTTTCACCAAAGTTTTTCAAATTTTCAAAGTTTTCGCCAAAGTATTTCAAAGTGTCAAAGTTTTCGCCAAAGTTTTTCAAAGTTTTCATCAAAGATTTTCAAAGTGTCAAAGTTTTCGCGAAAGTTTTTCAAAGTGTCAAAGTTTACGAGAAAGTTTTGCAAAGTGTGAAAGTGATCACTATAGTAAACCAAAGTTTTCAAAATGTCAAAGTTATAACTATAATTAACTATAGTTAACTATAGTAAACTTTAGTTAACTATACTTAATACAGTATTTTTTTGTTAGGGAAGAGATGTTTAAAATTAATTTTTAGACAGTGAAAATTAAACACATTTTCAATTAAGTGTACGTCTAGTTTTGACCTGCAATGAAGGATATTTAAGAGCTAGACCTAATTAAATCTTGTCAAGTATTTCTGTATTAATAAGATGTATGTTTGTGAAAACTGCATGATACAAATAAATAAGTCAAATATTTTATTGGCACAAACACAATTACAGTAATTGGTAAAGGCCCATAGAAAACATAGTGATAAGCATGAAAATACAGTAGAACACAACTAGAATACAAACAACTGGTGTAGCAAATTATGTATTGTACTCATAAAATACTAAATACATCCATATGATTCAGTACAATGTAGTTACTCATTTATAGCTAAAATATTTTTTCTTATTTCAGATATTTGATATAAAAATGATGAAAATATTTTAAGAACCTTTTTACAACTAGTTTTCATCAATAGTTTTAACAATTTGTCATTATTATAGATTGTTTGGTTCAAGTTAGGAAAAGTACATGTAGATAGTTTTGTTTTGAATATGTTTCTCTGTGCTTCATATTTTGGACATATAGCAAAATGAAATGATTTTCATCCTCAATATCAAGGTTTTGACATACTTTACATATCCTATCATTTTTATTATGCTCGATCCTGATGGCAAGTATTGAAGCTAAAATGAAAGTCAAACTCCATGCTCAAGAGATCAAAATTGTTGTTACCAAAATGAAGGACTTACATGTATGAAAATGAATTAGTATATTTTATATAAAACATGAGAGCCCCAGTTCTGTTTAAAAAAAATGAGGGATTCAGATTTTGGTTTAGTAACAGTTACTTAAGCAGCCAAGTCTGGGTTGGACAATTTATAAGTATTTTTTTTTTTTTTTTTTTTTAGAATTAAACGCGTTAAAACTGACATACTGTTACTAAACCAAATTCTGAATCCTTATACTTGATCATATTGATGAGGTCTTAAAAGCAAACTTAAAATGAAAATCCAAAATGTACATGAAAGCACCAGCAATGATCGAAATCTTTCGTGACGAATAGGTGAAACAAAAAAAATGAGAAAGTAGAAAATATTTTGGATAAAAAAAAAATGTGTGAAAAATTATCAGTTCACATAAAAATAAGAAATTATAAATACAATACAAATAAGTTATATAATACAAATGGAAATATTGAATAAAAAAAATATTCATTTACAATTAAAAATAACTTGATACAAAACTGAAATGTTTAAGCTCGAATAATGTAACACTTCGTTGTCTACGAATCAGTTTGTGTACGAGTTGACTATAAATCCGAAGAATTTAACGAACGACCATTGTTGTCTAAACAAATTCGAAACTAGACGAGATTTATCATGTACTAAATATTTTCACTGCATGTGAAAAGCTTGATCAATGGCAAGTCCTGCGAAGAAACCTAAAACATCGGCTCTACCAGTGTGCCCATATGGAGCACGGTGTTACCGAAAAAATCCCGAGCATTTTAAAGAATTTTCACATCCTCCGACGAAGACTGACGCTTCATCAAGTGACGACGGCACTAACGATGATACCAAACCTAGTCTCAATGACAAAAGCCTTCCGCCCTGTAAATATGGCGCTAGTTGCTACAGGAAGAATCTTCTCCATTTTGCTGAGTATTCTCACCCCACTGTGATAAAAAGCAAGGACAGTGGAAGTGACACAGATCCTATAGAATCAGATGAAGAGGAGAAGGTGAGATTCTCAGCTTATACTGTCAGGTTGTTTTGTTGTAACTGGAAGACAGAAAATGTATGAATGGACCGGGAATCGAACCCGGAACCCCTGCATCTCCAGTCAGGTGCTCTACCAACTGAGCTCTCCAGGCCGATATCCATGGCCCAAACCATTACATTCCTCCCTCCTTAAATGGTCTTCGCCCTCGAAGACACAATCCAAGTTCTCATTTCCCCCTGGCAGAATTTTCACCTGCAATTCCAGGGGTGGTCAACAGCACCAAATCTGTAACAGGATAGGAGAAAATATATTGCTGGACCGGGAATCAAACCTGGGACCCCTACATCTCCAGTCAGGTGCTCTACCAACTGAGCTATTCAGGCCGATATCCATGACCCAAACCTTTACATTGTCATGGATGTGTTTTAAATCATTATTCCTTGTGTTGCCAGATTCACAGGTGCTGAAATTCAGTCAGTATATATCGGGTGACTCAAAAAGCTTAGTGGTTAGATTGCAGGCACGGTATGCCAGAGACCCATGGAGGTTTTGAGACTTTATTTTTACTATCTGTGAATCCGGTGCCACTTGGTTTAAATCATTTGCTAAGTATACATGATTTATTGCAGTCCAGTCAGGGGTAGACATTAACTTTTATTTCCACTTGTCCTTCGGGCAAGTGAACTACAATTTTGACTTGTCCGAATGCAAAATTTGGTTGCCCAAAATTTTTGAAGAAAAAAAACCAGTTATTGTACCTTAATTTGTTGTAAATATAAAAGTTGACAAATTAATCTATATTTTGAAGTTAACTGCCGGAAAAAATGTTCATATGATGGTGAAGCTACAATTGTAAATGTACATGTACATATGTAAAACACTTTCCTGTCATTTAACTATATATATCCTGAAAACACACAGAGTACTGCAGGAATATTATTTTTTTTACGATTTTTGTTTGAAATTTTAACTTTTCCTCTAAAAAATTGAGGCGAAGCCAAAAGGAAGAGAGTCGTTATGTTTTGAATCAAAATACATCGTGCACCGTGAATAATTGGTGTTCTTCATCTAATTCCTTAACTGGGTAGAGAAAGTATTCTGTAATCTCTATTTTATAATAAGACTGTAACGTAAGTTGTAAGACAGATAATCGTACTTTTCAAACTACGAAAGAAAACAGAATATAACGAGCCCGATTTCTGAATAAAGGTTAGATCCAGAAACGCTACCGAGGGAATCCGAATGCAATAACAATGTCCCGTTTTTGGCGGAAATCAAGTGTTAACATTAATTTATTGTGTTGTTTATAAACTTATGTGGAAAAAAAATGTTTCTATCAGAAATATCCACTTGCCTGATCGGACAAGTACATTGATAGTTTCACTTGCCCGAACTGAGAATTTACTTGTCCCGGGCAATCGGACAACCGTTAATGTTGATCCCTGCCAGTAAGTCTTACAGATGGTGATCATGGTGATTAGATTAAGAGTTGATTTAATCTTAGCTAAATATCCAATTTCATTCATTTCATTCTTTTAAATTGATTCTTAAAAAAAAATGTTTTTAAAATTTAAAAGCATGTTTTTATTTAAAAAAATATCTACCAATTCGTAAACATTAGGTCACATATACTACATGTACTTGTCTGACATGTGTTCTTGACAGTTCTAAGTAAGTTTTTCCTTTTGAGACCAGGCCCCGGGATCATGAAGCATCTTAAGCTTAAGTCAAAAAATACCTTAGATGCTGAATTTTTTTAAAGGTCAATCAGCCCAAAATGAAAATGCCTTCCGATTTTGTATCATCAGTCTGCTGTTATATGCAAATTATGAGTTTCCTTTAACAAGTTTTAAAGATTTTATATATAATTGAAATTTTGACTTAAGTCTAAGTCTGTTTCATGATCCCGGGGCCAGGATTATGAAACAAACTTAGACTTAAGTTAAATTTTGAATCGCTTATAAAATATTTGTTAACTATGGAATTTATTTCTAAATTTGCAGATAACAACACCTCTGTGAAATAATGTTGCAAGATATTCTAATTTTGGTCTGCTTGACTTCTACAACATTTTATTATCAAATACATTTTTTTTTGTATAGATTTTGACTTAAGGGGGATGTACGGCCACCTTTAGTGCAGTGAACGCAAAATGTAAACATTTCTTCAAATGGCTAAAATACATTATATTTTGATCAAATTTTAAGTCTTTTTGATAAAGATACAATAAATATACATAACCGAATGCATGTTGTGCATATATAATCTATACTTTTGCAGAAAAATGCTTTTGATATGCTCCTTAGAACTGCGCAGCTACAGAATTCAGCAGAGCCTTAAAAAATCCAAAAAAATATGCAAACTGTGCATTAATGTTCTCTCTACAACCATTTGTTGAGAAAATGTCTAAATTTTGCACTTTTAAATGATAATTTCAAGTTCAAAACAAGGTACCATCGTCTTCAAAAAGATGTAAAGAACCATGAAAGTAGTTCATGGATAGCAGCACGTGGTCTATTTTTAGCACAGATCTTGTTTTCCAGACCTCTTCTTAATATGGAGGGGCATAACAATCTTTAAATGTAGAAGAGAATTACAGTTGCAAAATATTTCAAATAATATGAACACTTTAAAAAGAGGAAAGGTGTTATAGTGTGGCTTGAAGTAATTTATTTAGTTTGAACATAAATTTTTTTTTCTATTTGCCCATATTTTCAAAATTACAATTGTACAAAGTAAAGAGAAAAAATCAACCTATATATAAACATCTTTAAAATGATGTTTGGTGGTCCTCCCAACTCAGGGAAAAATTATTGGGTCCGTATTTATATACTGACACGCAAAAGAAACGCAACACCCTATTTTAGGGGGAAATGATTATGTAAAGTAAAGAATTTTGTATCTTAAAATTATGAATATCTTGAATTTGGTAAACATCAGTAAATTAACGGTTGAACGATTTCCATACCATAACCGGAAGTCAAGTTTTAGTCTGCTTAACAGAAATCAAAATTTGCATGTTTAACAAAACATTTGGCAATATTATGGAATTTTAAGGGTTTTTTACTGTTCATCATAAATAATGCAGCAATATTTCAAAAAATAAACTCTACTTTCGTTTCCCGAAACAATGCTAAGTCTACTTAAAAAATGGCTTATTTACGCATTTCCATTGCTCTAGCTGGAAAATTTCAATGTAAAGGTGATGGAGAGTTGCTGATGCGAAATTTCACTATATTTTGCCTCAACAGGGTCTTATGTATCATATGCATTAAGGACAGTCCTTGTACCGGAAGTCCAAGGGTGACTACACTGCTCTAAGTTGGAGAAAATTCGACCCACTTATCTAAAAAATGGGCATTTAAAAATGTCAAAGAATAATTCCTTCGCTGAGATCTCGATATTAATGAACCTATAGTATCGTAGAAATTAAGCTGCAATTGTTGTTTAGGGCAGTCTTGCATGTTTTACTTGAATGGCTGGGAGGGGGGTGTTTTAACAGTCATATCTTACTTAGTAAAGTAAACAGATAAACATCTAACATTTTTATCAAATCTCTGATGTTCTGAAAAGTGAATCTAGCCTTACTTTATTCACTTTTGAAAATCATAAGATAAAAAATAAAACATTTGTAAATTATTGCTTGTTGCGTTTCTTTTGCGTGTCAGTATAGGTGAGAAAAAAAATCTTTAAAATTTAAACAGAATTGTTTACGGAAGAAAAAGAAAAAAATATCGTGATATGAAATGTTAAAAAAATGAGTCGGGCCATTTCTAGGCAATAGATCGGGAGAGAGGGCAACCAAATATTTTTATAACAAGTGGTATTATAAGGCTAGTACATGTTCCATCACATACTTAGAAATGCAATTTTTTTTAATCTTTGACACTATTTTGAAAAACAAACAAAGGACAGGGGAAGGGGGGGGGGGGGGGGACACAGCACTCACTTTTTTTTGCGATGATAGACATAGCATATGCAATGGACCTTTCATTGCAAACATTGTGCTCGCTTCTAAATTTCATAGAAACAACTCATCATATTTTATCAAGCTTCGTACGTTCAATGAGCGAGAGCTTACAACGTTGTCAACATAATGAGACATGATGCGTTTTTGTGTCCAAACATGACCCCATACAATGTGTGGGTCATTGCAAACATTCTAGCTATTTATGTGAGGTGCCTGAAGGAAACATATAAATGCCTATTTTTTCTATCTAACTTATAAACAAAATAGACATATGTACCAACTTTTCGAATGTAATACATGTAATTACAATTTATTTTTCATGCACTGCGTTTTGTTTAACATTTTCAAATTAAATGCTAAGCATCCTCCTTGCAGTGCCCCATTTGAAAATAACTTCTTTCGCTATGAAAAAAACCTTAAACACATATGTTTAGGACATTTTTATCTTTTTTTCTTGTGTTAAAGAAACCAACAAATTATCAAGACTTGTTCCATGAAAAATTAAATATAATCATGGTAATAAACGCATCTATCCACACCAGGTATATGCACATGCCAACCATGTGCTTAGCGGAATAATTTTAGCGAGGAATTTCGAGTTTTAAACAGAAAAGTTTTTCCCGATTTGCTGGAGTGAGGTTAAAATCGCGTTTTTTCATTAATCAGACGATGCGATGCAACAAATAAAAGTAGTAAGTAATATAACCTAATGATTATTACTTAGTAATTTCTTGTCTTGGTGTTATTATGGTCGCATTTATTCTAAAATCATTGTTATTCGAACTCTTTGTGACAGAGGAATGGCGGACGAAATAAACACATGGCCTCAGGAAGACACACATATGAAAAATCAAATTTTCAAGAATTATGGATAATGACAAGAAAAAAACGAAACAAATGGTTGTAGCCATATTATCAATGAATCAAACTAACTCCATTTTCAATGCATTTTTCATCTCATGAATGCTGTAGCTGCGCAGTTCTAACATGATTAATTTTCTTCTAATTAAGACAAAATAAACTTAATTGTTTACTAATTTTGGTCTTAACAGTAGATAATTAGTGCATTAGCACTTTGGGTAACTTTGAGCTAGTTTAGTAGAGTATGTAGCGCATTCTTGGTATTTCTTAGTTTACACCAGACTAGATCCAATATGGCTTGTACATCCCCCTTAAGCTTAAGATGATTCATGATCCCGGGGCCTGATATATTGTAACAATCAATCATTGCATATTGAATTTCTTGCAGAAAAAGTCAAAAGTCAAGTCTGCAGACATCTTGAAAAGAGGCATGTCTCTGGTGAAGAAGTACTCGCAGATGACAGAGGATGAAAGAAAGGAGCTGATCAAGCAAGCGTTTGAAGCCAAGCAGAAACTACAGGAAGAGCTTAAGGAAACAAAAGACAAAGTTAAAGAAAAGGAAAAAGAACTGGAACAAATGCAGCAAAAGGTTGATAAACTTTTGTCAAGTGTTATAACAAGAGTTTAATACCTCTAGCACAAAAAAAAAATAAATAAATTTAACAAAATTGAACAAGGGATGTGCTGGTTGTCCTTGTTGCAAGTTTGCATGTGCATGTATTTTATTTTTGCATAATACTCAGTAACACAAGATCAGTTTGTTAGCTACTGTTTCAGAAAGCTATTAGGATAATTGAAGTCTCTCATAGTAATTCAGTAAGCAGTGACTTACTGTAGACGTACTTTTTTCCACGGGGTCATAATTCCGCGGAATCTCAATATCTGTTTAATCCGCGGGTAGAAAAGTACGCGGATTTCTTACAATGTCACTATATGCCTTGCATTTATATTAAGTACGCTTGGACAAATTTACGCGGAAAATCTGTGACCGCGTACATAGCGTAAATTAATACCACGCGGAAAAAAGTACTTCTACAGTAACATAATCTTTATCATGGTTATGGTGCCTAGGTGTCCTCTGGCCTTTTATTGGTGGAGGGTGAAAAGGCGGCTTTAGAGGGGACAGACACAGTGTACTTCTCACTCATGGCTGAGCGTAACCACAAGGAGGGCTCAGCTGAGCAGACTCACTTCAGGCTGGCCGAGTCCCAGTTTTATCGACTACTAAGTGGCACAGACAATAGGTAAAGAAAATAGTTCTACATAATTCTGAAAACCAGCTATTATTTAAAAATGATCATTAACCAGCTAAAAGTCAAGTAAACAAAAAATATAAGGAGCATTGCAAATATGCATTTACAATAAAACTCGGTTATAACGAAGTTACAGGGACCTATGAAATTACTTCGCTATATCTGTGATTCGTTATTATAATAACCGTATAAGAAATTCATCAAATTTATATAGCTAGGGATCCAAGATGACTTCGTTATATCCATAAATTCGCTATATCCGTGTTTGTACTAAACGAGTTTTGCTGTACATGTACCATATGAAGTTTTCTCTGAAAGATGAAGAGAGTATTTAGTATTTTAAAAAACTTGTCTAGTCTGAATATATTGTGTACTCTGAAATCTAGCATATTATGATACATGTAAAATCCTTGAGTCCATTTCTTTAAAATGGTGCTTAATCTAACCAGACGAGTTTACATTGAACAAATGGTGTCCAGCTTTAATAAAGTATGTATAGGTTTGTTATCACTCAGATTTAGTAATTAAGAGTTAAATTTTAATATGCCACAATTTATTTATTGATTGATGCATGATGTGTTTTTCAGCTACACCATTAAGAAAGTGGAGTATGTTGTTAATCCAGAGTTGAGGACCAAATTCAAGTAAGAATAATGGTGTGGTATGAGCAAGTAATTCTGATAAATAATTGTAGAAACTTATAAATTGATATATTTCACAGGTGTATTCCTTGTTACAAGACCTTTCTTTGGGTACCCCAAATTTGACCTCTCGACCTTAGAGTTGAACCTGTATGCATGGATCAATAAATTCCTTCAAAATTATCTTGTAATGAAAAATGTCACTGACTTATCATGGAATCCCCCCCTCCCCCTTCAAAAAAGAAAAGAAAAAGAAAGAAGATTAATATGAATTTACATGTTTATATTGTAAGAAACTTTTTTATATTTGATACTTGTAAATATATTGTGGTTGAGTAGAATATGACATGAACATATCAGGGGCACCTTGTAACAGCTAATACAATGTATAAACTTTATGCATAATATTTATGTTGATAAAGAGTAGTTAAAAAATCTGTCTCTCTTTGCATGATTATAATAAACTCTGGATTTTAAAATCCTGATTGATTTTCAGACATGCTAAAGATGAGCTAAAGAAACAGAGAGGAGAGGATTTATCCTACCCCGTGTTAGCATTTCATGGAACCAAAGTAGAGAATATCACCAAAATCTGTGAAACTGGATTCAGAGTTCCTGGTAAATACTTGGATATATTTAATTTATATTTGAACAGACATTTGCTCATGAGCATTCAAGTGAGTATAATTTTACACATTGTGAAATTTTTTATCATAGTATCTACCTCCTAATTATAGACTAAAAATCTGCACATAAGGAAAATCAAATTCTACTTTTAAAAGTTACAATAGTATTTAAACAAATTTTTGTTAGAAGGTCAAGGCCAAAATTTCAAGGTCAAGTTGATAAAAAAATATCATCAGTAATAGCATTGTTTAGTACATGTTCTTGTATAGCTGTGTAAGCATGTAAAGCTGAAAAAAAGAAAACCATATTAATTACTATTGATGTAAGTTAAAAGTATAGCTGTGTAAGCAAGCATACATGTAGCTGAAAAAACATGTACTATGAATGTAACATTATTATACATTGTTTTTGTAGGAGACAAAGGTTTCCAACACAGAACAGACACTGGCTGGTATGGTAAGGGGGTGTACTTTAGTGAGTACCCCGACTACAGTATGGGGTACATCCAGGGGGCAGAGAAGCTACTCCTGTGTCAGGTTCTCCCTGGGAAAGTGTTCCACTGTAAAAAGCTGATCCATGGGGCAGCGCTTACTAAGGGACACGACTCCCACACGTCCCCTGATAAAAAAGAGCTGGTCATATTCAACCCCGGTCACATCCTGCCCAGCTATATTGTTCATTATAAGATGGCCTCTGGGGAGTTTGCTTACAGTGTAAGTAAAAAATAAAAGTACATAAATTTATTCAATTTGTGTGCACACACTGTTGCAGTTATGTGCCTTCATCTTTCAAAAAAGTAATGATTCATATTGCTTAAATATTGTACAGCATGTGCAACATTTAGAGGAAAACACAGTCATACCAAAAAGCAAGGGACAGACTATTTTTCCAGCTCTTATACAAAAATAATTTGTATTTTTATAAATGAACAATGAATTTTATGTCACAGGTTTTGAATAATGAATTGCTGTACATGTAAGAGGTATCGCATTATAGCACGTTTTCTTTAAGTGTGTTTAACTGTATATGTTTTGATTTCCTATACAGAAAACTGGGACTGGGGGTAAGGCTACTTCAGCCAAGAAATCAACAGCTGATGATGACGACGATGATGATGATGAAAGTGTGCATGAAAAATGTATGAAATCCCAAACTGCCAAAAAGTCAAAGTAAGTTCTGAAAACACCCAAAATAGAAATGATTTAATTTCTAAAAAGAAAAAAAAATGTCAAAAAAGTAAAAAAAGAAACAAAAAAATCTTCATTTTTTGCACATTGCTCATAGATACATGTATAAAGGATTTTGCTTTAACTAAATTGTTTTCTTTCCCTTTTTGCATTGACAGAGTATTGAAGGACCAGAAAATTTTGTTCACTGGAGCTTTTTGTTTGACCCAGAAAGAAATTACAGATCTTGTAGTGAAGCATGGGGCCACAACAGGTATGCATTTATGAACATGTATACTGTATGCATATATGTATTTTAAAATGAGGTTCAAATTTTAAATGGTTCATTTAATTAGGGCTTAGCAAAATTAAGTTTGCCGCTGGTGTATAAGAATCACACCAGTCCTTTGAAGAAGTCTTCCAATGTTTTTACAGTAGCCCATTTCAAATTTCCTGTTTTTTTCCCTTATGACTTTTCCTGTTTATCCTAAAATGTGTATTACTACTGCCACTTGTCTTTCTGGGTTTAAAACATGTTTTAATTTTATTTTAACAAAAAATGCTAGTGTTGTTTACGATTGTTAAAGGATATATGAATAGGCAAAGAAGGACAAATCAGTTTTGATTTCTGTAGTGTCCCTATCCTGCGTCTAAAAAAGTCTGTTCTGAATTTTTTTTCACAAAAAGAGGCTAGTCTGTAATATGTATTTGTAAACTTATTTAATTTTTCATGTAGTTTAGATTTAGATGCAGAAGGTACCGGTTATTAAACATGATTATTATAAAAAATGAATTTCATTTGAAATAAAAAAAAAAACCATGTAGGAGAATATATATATAATGTACATGTGTATTTATGATATGCATTGATTTATTCCTAGGAACACTGGGTAATTTCAATCTCTGTGTCGCATCCCTGGGATCTGTGCAAGGTACAACGAACAAGTTCATGAAGGCCATGGACAAAAATGTAAGTTGTACGTTTATACTTCATTATTCAGGGTTATTTATACTGATCTGTATACTCCATTATCAGATATAAGATACATTTATTAATAACTACGTACCGTAAACTTAGTAATATTTGTGTGCAAGAAATATCCTCAAGTTTCATGACCGGTATCTATTTCAACTGGCGAATATTAATCTAGAATATTTTTCCTCAGTTGTGAATATATATTAATCATCACAAATTGATTTCAAAGTGACAAATCGCGAATAAAAGTTAAGGCAAAAAATATTTGGTTTACAGTCAGGGGTTCAAAATTTTTTTTGTCATGGTCAAGTCCAGGACTTGAAGAGTAAATTTTAAGCAAGTCCGAGGAAGAAATTTCATAGTCCATATTTACCTATACATCATTAAATTTATGTTACTTATAATTTCATTTGTTGCGTTGAATGAATAAAGACTATATGCATTAATATATATGTTTTATTTTTCCTCCATAAAATGTCATGAGTATTTTAACACAATACCAGACTGATAAATTACTGGTACATTACAATAACTTTTACAAATACACACTACTGAATAAACCATCTAATACAATAAGTAGAAATTAGAATTTGCTGTTAGTCACAGCTAAAACCGAAATTTAACAAACTCATTGCCATTTGTCATATCTAGGTGGAAACATGAGGAATTGCGTAAAAGCAAGAGTCTAGCCGCAACAGAAAATAAAAAGACGGATTGTATTTCGAAACGTTCGTAATGTTTTTTTGGTATTTTAACGCCCACAAACCCACATTTTTACCTAATACATTTGAGAATTTGCTTTTTTTTTTTTTTAGCTTTAAGATCATTTTTTAACTTATAAAAAAAGATAAACATGAAACATAGCCAAGTCCCAGGACTTTTGCGAATTCTAAATGCCGAGTCCGGATCCAGAATTGGATAGTCCGGGACGTCGGGCTTGAGGATTTTTGAACCCCTGACAGTATTGCATGAAACAGACACATGAACACTACATGTACATTATGTTTCATACTAGTATTTTGAATTGGAGTCATATTCTTTTCAGATTCCGATAGTTTCAGAGGAATTCTTGTATGACTCAATCAACAAGAAGAAACTAATGGATCCAGAGAATTATTATCCAGAACAGTGAATAGACAGCATTTATAAATTATTGTTCCTTAAATTCATCCTCCAAAATTATGTAGAGCTTAATTTTCTCAATATTTTGGACTAGGATTCATGTGTTACTGTCCAATTTCATCAAAATGTTTACTTGTTTTCTGATAGGTGCACGATAGTGCTTTCAAATATCTTTTTATTGTTTATTCACCTAGTGAATTTGAATACAAATAGATGTTGTTTTATGCTTATTAATTTTCTATTTATTTGATATTTTTAAAATATATGATTTTTTATCTCTTATTTATTAACTGTGATAGAATCCATTATGTATTAATTTTTTTTTTTCATTTAAATTAATTATCAATCCCAACTATTTCATAAGGTATCATGCAAATTTAAAAGTTACCTGGGTCAAAAGGAATCGCTAAATATAGTCAAAATTTTGTACAATGTATCTTAATCATGGATTTCTCAAAAACCATAGATATGTGGAAGTAAGATGTACCATCCACATTTTCTGTATGAATTTTACCTCAAATAATTGACCTTCAATTATAATAAACCAAATCTTCAAGCAGATTTTTTTTTAGTCCAGTTCATATACTTTCAAATTCGGAGCACAATTTTTGAAGTCAATTGTCTGTATTTTAACTTTGAAAACATGAATTCTTGTGATATATTATATTTGTTAAGAATATGTATATAGTGCCATAATACTTTTAAGACATAGACTTCAGATTGTTTGACCCCTGCATCACTTCATGAAAAACCTATATAATATTTACAATGCCCATGTTTAAATATTGTTTTGTGTTATACGTAATGAATTAACCTGAATACCTGTAAATAAATCTAAAGAATTATGTTCAAAGATATGTCCAGCGTGCTGTAATAACAGTCATTATATTGAAATACAGACTGCATAATACATGTATGTAGTACATGTATGTACATGTATGTATTACATATACATTAGTAACATATGCAGTGGGAAAGACAATAGGAAGTACAATTTGTAGCAGTATGTTATTGATTCACTTCTTTGGCAGCTTTTAAGATTTTGTTTGTTTAGTTTTAGGTATAGACTGAATTATTGAACCTGTGCACAATGTTTGGAATGTTGCGAATACTTAAGTTGAATTAATTAAAGATGAAATTTTTTATAACTCTCACTTTTTACAATGTATGTTAGTGGATGTACTGAATTATTTATCCTACGGCTGTGAAACATAGCTCTGCTATGACTTTTTTCAAATTCTTATTGATAAAAGCTTCTGATAAAAGTTTAGGTTTTAAAATTCTTTGTATTTATTTAATGACAATTATTTTTTTTATTTAATTGCTTTACAGGTATTCAACCTGAATGTTAAATATAAAATTTATGGAGATATCACTGTACTGAATCATTTTTATGCTGACAGATTTAAAAAATTTTAAAAACATACATTTTTTTGGTTTTATTATATAAAAAGTTCTATAAATTGTAATTTATATACTTTGTAAATACCTTCTCCAAAATTTTATTCTGAATTGATTGTATAATTTTATTTTAAAAAATTATGACATAAATTTCAATTTGATTAAAATTTTTTATCAACATCATCCAGTTGGCGAGTGGTCGTTGTTTCTTAATTGAATGGGATTATCTTTTCTTTGGGGGGGGGGGGATTTATAAGGTGTGATTTATCAATAGCAGGAGGAGACACTATCAGTTAAGCCAGAGCCAACCAAACGTGAATTTTCGACATACAAAAAGTTATTCAGGGAGCGTAATCATAAACTATCTTGAAAAGTTTGTTTTCTATTTTATAAAACATAAACGCAAAATTAAGGGGGGTCCTGCGGACACGAGCCTGGGTTTAATAAGCATCATCCGGAATGGTAGATATACTATAACATGGGAAAAATTCGGGGATTTTTCCATGAATAATACATGTATTGGATTTACTAACGAAGAAGTAATATAACAAGGTTCTATCCGAACTTATACGGAGGAGTGTCTCCGATCTGATGCGAAATGCTACTCTCTCGAGATACACTGTACACTAGTAAACTAGCCCACTTTTATAAACGTACAACTGTAATCATGCAAGTGTACAATGGGTGTTTGTGATTTTTAAAGCACCATGAATTGCACCAATAAAGAACATGTGCGCAAAATATTTACGTTTTCCGTCCCAGGTTTATATGTTAAATGCTAAATCCGTTGTATCGCGGGCTATAATCCGCCTTCTTGATCTTAAATCTTTGGTCACTCTTTAGAAATAATGTTAGGTGTGTGTTTAAATCTAGGGAAAATGAATTCAGGTTAGTGTTTATATTTCTTTAATAAATTATGATAAATACACTAAATTATAATAGATACACTCTTTTGCTCCGAGTAAAGTAATCCCCTAAAAAACTTGCATCTCTTTTGTACTGTTTGGGGTTTAGATACATGTTATGTCGCTATACAGTTGTGTGCTTACGTATACAGTACCCATCCGGGTTTTGTGAAATAAAAAAAAATAAGTATAAACATTTAACCTATGTATACCTCGATCCTCTCTACATCCCCCTTTTTTGAGTGGCAAGCTTAATCAATCAAAATATTCCTAATAGGAAAGGATGCTCTTCGGTATGATCCAACTATAAAGATTTTTTTTCTAAATTTATAAGGTAAAAAAGAAAACATGTAATGCAATATCTCTCTATCTGTCTCTTGTCTCTCACTCGAACGATCCCCCACTCCAACCCCACCCCTTTCTCGCTTTTGGTACGATATAAAGTTCTTTTGGTTTTATCCTCAGACCAAATCACCTAGGTGACAATGACCGTTGACAATGGGTTGTGGAGGAAGTAAGGATGAGGGTCCCCTTTTTGTCCGAGTTGCCGACCCGTACACTCTTAACTTCTTAGGGGTTTACGAAAGTTTTTGGGATTTCCGAGAAACATCTGATCGTTTTCATGGCCAGATCCCTCCCAAATGTATCCAGCTATGGACGGACACAAGCCTTCCCCCTCCCAAAGATTGTCAATCTTTTCGGGCTGAGGTAAAACAATGTAGTAAATTAATACCTGTCACCATAATGAGTGTGTTACATTTTTAGCTAAATCACATTGTACATTACATTAGCTTTTTCAACTTTTCAAATTAAAATTTGTTCTGTTTCAATTTTTAATCATAGTTAAGAAACAACCTGTTTAATTAATGAATTCTTACCTGAAACATGTGAAAGTTTCTATTTTTTATCGGATTTTTAGCTATTATCTTGGAACTTTCAAAAGTAGATCACCATGACCTACAATTTGGTTGCCACAGTCTTCGGAACCCAGAAGCATCAGCTGTTTTACCTCTTTTCTCCTTTATTATTTTCCAGATAGAAGGAGTTCACTCTATGCTGCTCTGCCGGGATCCTGTAAGCCCGGACTTAAATCAAGGGGAACTTGATACGACCTACTTCCTTAATGTCATCGAAAAGCTGACCCCACGAACTGATATCATAAAACACGTATAAATTAATTTTTTTTTTTAGTTTTATTTTTTTCTTCAAATCACGATTTAATTTATGATAGCTATCGAGTAGACGAAACGTTTAATGTTAAAAAAAAAAACAAGAAAGAAAAAAAAAGAAAAAGAGATTGAAAAAGGCGGTATGCTTATGCATTTTTTCATTGAAAAGCATTTTAGTTACATGTAGTTATTCAAACCAAGCTTGATAAATAAGTTTAAGCTATATAAAAACACTTAAATAATTGTATTTTGCCATTATTATTTATTTATTATTATTATTATTATTTTTTTTTTTTTGCTCTCCCCTAATCATGTTTGTAAATATTTAACTTTCAGTTGATACCCAACGATAAAACCCGAGTGATTTACAAAAAGCAGGAGATCTACGTGGGCGTTGTCCACTGCAGGGTATGGAGGTTCGGCCGCTGGGTCGACATTTACGTGGACGATTCTGTCCCTTGTGTCTCCAACAGCGGGGGTATACGTCTCCTATCCTATTGTCACGACAAGGATGAACTTTGGTTAACCTTTCTAGAAAAAGCATGGGCAAGGTAAGTTTATACCTCACGTAGGTAGGTAGGATTGATGTCAATGATTATGTAACTGGAGCTAGTTTAATTTTCGTAACATAATACTCTTGGTCTCAAATTCATTCTAACGTTTTGATGTCATTAACCCTAAAATTGCACATGACTTAGATATTATTTCTAAGAAGTTTTTTCCCCTTCAGATTCTGGGGTGGCTACACAAGCATTGAATACGGGTACATACACGACACCTACCTAAGTCTGACGGGAGGGGTGTATGATGCAATAAATCTAGAGAGGACCCGACTAAAGCCCGGGGATATCTACTACAAGATCCGCCGGGGTATCGCCCAGGGGGCACATGTTGGGTGTTCTGTGTCTGTAAGTAGAGATAATGGCGGGTTATCACACAGAGGGGAGTGGGGGGGGGGGGGGCTGTAGGTTGTCTCCTTAAATAGATACCATAGTATCTGGATAGGAATTATCGATGACATATTGATTCAAATGGAATATGGTATCATCTGGATAGCTCATCTTATTGATGAATGAAAGATTATTCAGAATCTTAAAAGAATATCTAATAAGTGTACATGTATCTCAGCTTAATATATCATGTACATCTATAACAGAACTCGTTACATTTAGTTTAAATGTAAAATGTTTAATAAATTGAACTGAATTACCAGAGTTGAATTGTTTAGAGAGGATCAATTATATGTATAAGTTTTAAGTGTTTAAAATGATAGACATAAATGCAGAGGTTTTGAAATAACGGGGGAAATGCATAAAGAAACTGTAGTACGTTAAACAAATATCATAGGAGTTTAGATAGAAAAATCAAAAAATAGTTGCTTTATGAGAAAGTCTGTTTCTTTCTTTTTTTCCAGAGGAAACATGATGGGGTTTATGGGTTAACCGCTGGTGATACATTCACCATTTTGGAAACATATCAAGTATGTACATCCTACACAAAGCATTCGTTGATTTTGAAAGTTAAATAGGTTTACCGTTAACAGCAATAATTTATTAATTTTAATTCAAAGTTACTATTTTTATTTTTTAATCTTCTTAAAATACATAGTTATTATATATACCACTCATATTGAAAAATTACATCTTGAAGGTTCATACGCAAAAGGGCAAAGAAATTCATCTTCTACGCATGCGTGATCCTTTGGGATATACGCTTTGGAAAGGGCCATGGAATGAAAAGTAATCTATTTATGAAATCTTCAACTTAAACATAATAAGAAAAGTTGATGCCACAGTGTATCATATTAGCATATATACATGTAGAACAGATTTATACTGTCCTGTTATGTTTCCACTACTTATTTTCAAAGCTCCTCGCTCCAGACAAGTTGCACTATTGCGCCATTTTTTTTTCTCTTCCAACTCCATTCCTCAGTGCGTATTCTAGTCGTACCATAATTCATGTTCTACTTTTCCTATTCCTTTAGCGGAAGTGAGTGGGCTTCGTTACCCCTAGATAGTGACATTATGCAGAGACCACTTTGTGATAACGAATTCATCATGGCCTTCCGAGACTTTATTGCATACATGGAGTATGTCTGTGTGTGTTCTATAACTCCTGTGGTCGACCAGGAAATAAACCAATTTATACGTCTCAGTAAGTCAAAGCAACGAAGATATTTAAACATTTAAAAATTACGTTTCTTGTCAATCGATCGATCTGCTATAAAATATCATTTGACAAAGTTCCATACATGAAGTTTTCAAGTATGAGAAAAAACAAAGTCATACAAATTAAATGTAATTTAACAAACATATAAAGATGCAAAAGTATTTTTCGTATAGGTACAAAATATGTTTGTGCAGGAAAGATGTACTGTTACAAGTACAGGTTTTGCTTGAGACAATCTTTATAGTTGTTTTCTCTACATGCTTCTTTTCATACATGTGACCTTTCTCAATATACAATTTATGAAGTAACCTAAGACTTGCAATATTGATCATACTTGATTTTCCATAAAAACAATGAAAACAATTAGATCATTAACATTATTTCCTATATCCAAGTGTAAATTGGAATTGTAGAATATTGTACACATGTATTTGGGGAATGGTACGGAATGACAGCAGCTGGCAGTAAAAAAATTCTGGATAATCCCAAATTTTGTTTTACCCTTCCAAGTCGAGGTAAAGTGAAAGATCAAATTGATGTAGATATTTCCGATGTTTTTTTCTATTCACATTTATGAAATCTTTGAATGTCTTGTACTCTTCGTTATAGCTGTATCTCCGTAATTTTTTTGTGGCAAAGTCTCACTTGCAAACAATTTTGCAAATTTCCATCTACAAACCCTGCATCAAAGTTTCATTTTCAAATCCTGTAGATAAGTTTTATCTTCAAACTCTTTATCAAAGTCTTTCCTTCAAACCCTGTAGCAAAGTTTCAATTTCAAACCCCTCAGCAAAGTTTTATCTTCAAATACTGTTGCAAAGTCTAATCTTCAATCCCTTTACCAAAGTCTCGTCTTCAAACTCTAAAGCAGTCTTTTTCTCAATTTTACCTTGCAGCAAAATCTTATCTCGAAGCCCTGTATTATAGTTCATCATCAAATCCTCTAGCATCTACATATCCTGCAGCAATATTTCAGCTTGAGATCCTGCTGCAATAGTCTCGACTTCAAACCTTTAAATAAAGTTTAATCTTCAACAACCGTTGCAAAAGTGTAATCTTCAAACTATTATATAGTATTTAAGTCCCGTACTTAAACTCTTCAGCAAAATTTTATCTTCAAACCTTGCAGCGAAATATTTGTCTTCAAACCCTACAGCAAAAATTCACTTCAAACGTTACAGCAAATTTTTGTCTACAAACACTGCAGGAAAATTTTAACTTCAAATGGTGTAGCAAGCCCCATCTTTTAACTCTGCAGCAAAGTTTCATCTTCGAACCAACTAAGAAAGTATAATCTCCAAATTCTAGATCTGTAGCAACATCTCATCTTCAAGCCATACAGCAATATTTGCATGAGGTTAAAATTCTGCAGCAAATTTTCAGCTTTAGACCCTTAACAAAAACCCCTTCTTCACCAATCAAAGCAAAGAGAATGTTTCTTTGACAGGATTCAGTAAGGAGCAGACACCAATGGTCGTAGGAATTTCCCTACTTCAGCTCTGTAAAGACAGATTAGACGACAGAGTCCCCATAGCACTAAGAGTATTCAAGGTAGTTATTTTTTCGCTTTGTGACGTAAGTAGATTTTGCAATTAAGTTACTGTGAATTATTTAGTTTCCAGGGATATGATTTTAATGATATTCATTGTATGAAGAGACCATAGAATTTTTTGATTTTCCACGAAATGAATTCGTTTTCTTTTGTCTAGTTTCAAGTGTGTAATATTCATCTCCATAAAACCAAACCTCCTCAACTATTTTTTCTCCACAAATCAAGAAATGTTGATTCCAGGAAAATCAATTCCTGTCACTTACATTGTGTAGTCCTATTTAAAAAAAAATGAACCTCCTCAAAATAACCTTATGATATATGATAGGCCAGACAAATTTTGTCTCCAAGACAATAAATCACTTAACATCGTCATGATCATGTATTCTTATTTTAACAAAATGTCTCCCTCAAAATATCCCCATGCTTTATGATAGGCCAGGCAACAGAAGCAGGGGATGCTGATTGAGGAGATCGGGGAGACGTTTGAGCAGGGGTTCCAACAGATTCTGAGGACATTCAAACTAAAACCGGGAAAATACATGATCCTCCCCCACACAGCCAAAATGAAAACAGAGAGGCAATTTCTACTGAGGATTTATACCACATTTCCGATGAAGCATATTCAGTACGTATTTACAAACTCGGTTTCAATACTGTTATTCTGAAAAAAATCTAAATCAAAATTCTACTGGTTTTAAGGGTAGATAATACAAACAAAAAAATTGATGCCTGGATTAGTATATATTTTTTGGCCTAATTTCATTGAAAATGATGCAAATAATAAATTTCTAGAATATAAAGAAATTGTAAACCTATGATGTTCAAAATTCTGCCTGTCTGAAAGCATCCTTAATAATCTATACAAATATTTTTCACTTCAAATCCCATTTTTGTGACAATTTGAATAAAACATCAGAAACTATAGTGAAACTTAATTCATTTTACTCATTAAAACATGACTCGTGTTGTTATTTCCAATTTTTTGGACAAAAGTTTGTTTGTATCATCTGTCCTTAAGCTTCCAGGAACTATCAGATGTTGTAAGATTGAAGCCTTTGAATCGATACCGGGGAAATTGAGAACGCCGTTGATTAAACTTGTGGCAAATTACAATTTATTTCATTTGTTAATGTTTTTTTTCGTCATATTTAACATCATTGTAATATGTTACTAATGATCTTTTCCTTCTTCTTATAAAATGTTTCAAAGCTTTTTTGAAATTATAGATGGGTTCCTTCAACTGAACCATTGCTTCTTCTAAAGGAAGACAAACCTCTTAATCTCAAAGACCTGAAATGTACACTAGGTGAGGTTATATTCCTTTGTCATTTTATTATTCAAAAATATCTTCTGATTCATCAAGACAAACCAATCCACTGTGATTTGTGAAAGTATATTTGAGATCATGATTGCTTGGCATCTTAAACACAAGTCTAAAAACCAATTATAAAACATCCTCTTTGACAACTTCAAATACTAATATTCTCGAATGAACCTTGATCAAAAACCTGACTTCAGCTGGTTAGATTCTTGTAATATTCAAAATTTTTGAAAGTTTGTTAACATGTCCTTAAACAGACTGCTGTGAGGAGATTTGGGGGCGGTGGTCAGAGGGTCTTCAGGGAGGATTCATATACGACAGAGACTTTGATTTGAATCCCCAGGTGGACATCTCCGTACCAGAAGGAGGTAAGAGGAACTGCAATACCGTTTTGTCCTCAGGACTGGGTTGCTCAAAACACTGGTAAACCACTGGTTATATCGCTTAACCAATGGTTAACTAACCAGAGGCTAATTTTATTCTGAGCAACAAATATTTGACCAGTGGTTAGTTGGCCAGTGGATACAGGATATAGCAATTGACCAACTTATCCAGTGATCAAATTTTACCAGGTGTTTGAGAAACACAGACCAGAGATCTTGCATGTTGATTAATATTTTTCTTTCAGATGAACTCAAACAAGTGATTCGTTTCAAAGTCCTTAAAGACTGGAACTCTGACGATGCCTGTCTGGGATTTAGGTTATTTCGGGTAGGTTTGAATGTTATGTTGATTTGATTATATTTTACGTTTAAATAGAGCTTGACACAGATTATGATACTCTTTAAAATTGTTGCGTTTGTATAATAGCTTTTAGATTATAAAGGTAACTGGTAAAGTAGAGTTTGATAAGATTTAGATTATTCTGGTAAAGTACAACTTTCTTAGAATTTTGACTTTTCATGAGGCTTGTTTGATTATTTCTGGTATGTATACCTAAAGAAAGACCATCACTTCACCACATGAACTTGACTATTCTTAGGTATATACCATTGTCCTTTCACAAGTATACCATTATCCTTTCACAAGATTCAAACATTTTTAGCTTATGTAAAATATTTGTATTTTATGTGAAATATAACCTCCAGGTAGGTCCAGAAGAATTGATACCAAAGGAGACCCAGTGGTTTTATGATCATTGGGATCACACTGTACGGTGTAGGGACGGATCTATTGAAGGCTGGGAGTGGGACTATCTCGCTCCCACTTTTCAAGTAGAACCTGGACGGTATTGTGGGATTCTCTACAATGAAAAGCCCGGGGGGAGTAACACAGCCTTCTGCATCATGGTGTATTCTGCAATCCCACTGCAGATCAAGTAAGTTACGAAATATTTATTCTAACAAAGATATTTTAAAATGTTAAACTACATGAAACATATGGAACATATGAAACATATTCAACATTTAAGTGCGAACTGTGTATATTGATATACCAATGAATGAACAACCACTTTGTAATGAGTGTATTTTTTGAACTTTGTAAAATGTTACAATTTTGTTCATTTTTTATGATTTTATTATAAATTATACAAAATACATGTGCAACCTTTTTTTATTTCTACAGATCTTATAATTTGGGAAAATAGTGCTTAAGACATCACCATAGTGAGAAAAGAAGCTATCATCTTTGTGTTGTCACTGCAGCATCTTCTGTCAGATGGGAAAAATGACAACAGGAATATACAGTTAAACTCGTTTAGTATGAACAGGGATATTGCGAATTCATGGACATAGCGAAATTATCTTGGATCCCCAGCTGTATAAATTTAACGAATTCCTTATACAGATATAATTTTATAGGTCCCAGTGACTTCGTTAGAAACAAGTTTTACTGAATGTGTGTATTTGGATATTTTGGTCATTCCCGTATCATTCTTGATAATTACTAGCATGAACATGATGAAGAAAGGGACAAAGTAATTAAGAAATATAAGAAATACAACAGTACATATTTATTTTGTTAAATTTACATAGGCTCATCAACTTTTGTCCTTGGTAATTTTAATATAATAATTTGATAAAAGATGGAAATCATTATGAGTTTCCTGTTGTGTTTTTGAAAAAGAATTTCATTTAAATATTTTAACGTCTGATTGAAAAGGACTCATAACCAATACTCACCTATGTCTTTTTTTGGAGTTAAATTATAATTATCTATAATTTTTATTATTGTAAAATTTAAATTTGTCTCAACTTAATTATAGCTCTTCTTTTTTTATTAGTATATGTAAAAAATAATTATCAAATCTCAACGTGTAAAATGTTGTTTATCTGTATGTTACTTAAAATATTATTGTTTGTTTGATATCAATAAAAGAGAGAGAGCGAAAAGATTTACAAAGAAAGCATTTTCACTATATAATTAATAAAGCACCGCCCTAACGCCAGGACCCATAACCCGACCAGGGGTCATGAAATTAACAATTTTGGAAGAGGCAGTCTTGCTCATCATAACAATGTACATAATTCATCTGCTTAATACCCAGGAACAGGGAAGATTTTCAAAGAATCAATGCATGTTCACTACATAAACAATAGATCCCCATCCTAACACCAGAACCCCTGACCCTGGGACCATAAATTTCACAATTTTGATTAAGGACTCAATGCTTATTACAATCATGCCAACAGTTTGACCGCTTGATGCCCAGGAGTAAAAGTAAGATTTTAAAGATTGTATTAATTCTAGTGGTTTTTGTCCCAATCCTCCGGCTTCATGAGGCTGGGGTAATGAATTTCACTTTTCCCCCTCCTCTTTGCCCACAGATACTATATGCCTTATTTCGTTGATATTAATTCAGTGGTTCCAGAAAAGAAGCTAAAATATTCGAAAGACAGACAAAAAAAGATAGCAATAGGGAGGTCACCTGAGTGACTCAGGTGACCTAATAATTTCGACGTTTTCTTGACTAGGTCCCTTTACCTATTCAATTAATGACGAAATAAATATTAAAAAAAATAATACCCTACTATGTTGATCTACATAACCTTATCAAGTCAAAATACTAGTAACACAGAAGTAATACACGCGAATATAAAATCTTCGTTATCTCCATATCTTTCTTCATATGTCATTTAATGCCAAAAGGCTTTACAATTTCATATCTGTTAGTATGAATGCCTGCTTTAGAGCTTTTCCCCTCTTTTGGAATCATAGGTCTGTACAATTAGCTCGGTCAGGACAAGGAGGATATGGTCGGTCGACAGGGGATACTTACTCCTCCCTGTCGCATAATTCCACTTTTGATGTTTCTAAGAGGTCTGTCTTTGATCCGGTCCATGAGTATCGTGTTACTGGACTTTTGTATGGAATTCTGATAGGGCCATGCAGTTCACTATCGCACCATCGAGCATCGACTATAAAGGTCGATGGCACGATAATGCGATGGTGAGAAAACGATGAAGCGATGACGATGGAGCTATGGTGCGATAGCGCGATGACGATAATGCGATGACGTGATAATGTGATGACCATGGTGCGATAGAAGGATAGAGTAAAAGTGAATATCGCTTCATTGTTATCGTACCATCACGCCATTGTGTCATCGCTATCGTACCATCGTGTCATCGCACTATCGCTCCATCGCTTCATCGTCATCACGCAATCGAACCATCGATTCATCGTCATCCAATTATCGTATCATCGCATTATCAACCCAAACCTCGATGGTGCGATGATGCGATAGTGAACTGCATGGCCCTATCCGGATTCCATACTTTTGAGCTTTATAATTGTTTATTTTTTTCAATATTTACAATTAGAACATGTATTTCTGGACATCTATTTTTGCTGTTTCAATAGAAGTTTAAAATATTTATGTTTTTGTAAAGTGGAATTGACCAAAATTTGCAACATTTTTAAACTCTTGTATCTTTGAGTCAAAAGAAGCTGTCAAGTTAAATACCATAGGACTGTCTGTTTTCTTTTTAATTTTTTGATATCTTTCACTACATCTGTAGAAATCGTCAACATATGAGGCATCGTCCACCTCGTCTTTCAGGCTTTCTAATGATTTTGTAAGTTGTTTCAGGTACGTTATTCTGTCTCCGTTCGATTCTGCATTCCTTCTTGTAACTTCCCTGTGTTCTTTAGCTTTTGCAGAAAATTTTCCAGAAAATCATTCTTTAGCCGATGGATGTGATTTTGAACACCTGTGTATAAAGACTCGGTAAGCTCAAATATCTTTTCCAAATTTACCTCTAGCTTTGAAATGGTTTCCTCTTCTTCTGTTTTTATGGTTATAAAATATTGTTCCAATTTCTTTATTTTTTCTAAGCATTTGACAAACTCTCCATTACGTATTCTGTCGGCAGCATTTTTTACGGTTTCGGTTCTTACACATTTCCGATGTTCTACACAGATGAACATTGTGCATGGTACCGAATGATTTTTACAAAGAAATTCTATTTTTCTGTCTTAGGGCAATTACTTATGTCTCTGTATTTCACAGGAGACAATTTAGACTCTTTTAAAGGCATAACTTCGTGGTCTTTGGTCAGCAAATTTCTCCTATGGTATTTAGCACACATATCACAAAGTCTCTCTTTGCACCCGAAACAAAATCGACTGGCTTCGTGTTCTTCGTCAACTCTTATGCAAGAATCACAATTATTTTCTGAGTGTGGATTTTTGGATATTTTCCTCAGAATTTCATTAATCGGGAATTCGCTAGCCCAGCTGAAAGGTCCCTTTGAAAAATTTTCCACCGGGATGAAATCTCGACACAGTGGACAGCGGAATCCGACAGGAGCTTCTTTAGAATTACACGTAGATACGATATGGTTCGACAAACATTCGTGACAAAATGAATGCGAACAAGGTAAATACCTTGATGTTTTATATTGTTAAAAACATATCGAGCACTTTATAAAATCACTACAGGTAATACCAGGTACCTTAGATGACGATGCCATTCCACCTGATCACAACTGTTTCGATTGAAGGCACAAAATACCAAGAAAATTAATGCTTGTAACTTGTCTGTTTCTACAATGCATGCGTTTAAAATGTATCACTCCATCAGGATTTAGTCCAGTAGTCTTTGGTTATAAAGGCTTATTGTTTTAAAATCCCATTGACATTGTCGTTATTTATATGTTTACCATTGTCATTAAATGTTGAGTATTTAGCTATCAAAATAAGATGTAAGAGATTTTGTAAGATTCTAAAGGGGCATAGGACGAGAAAATTATTAAAATATGATTTGTACTGTATTAAGCTATTTGCTCTTTTTGCTTAATGACATATGGAAGTAAAGAATAGTAATCAAAATAAAACAATACAAAATATGGAGAACAATTACCAGGGAACCTCTTAAAACATTAGTCGCAGAAGCCATGAAGAGATGTATCATCTGACAGCCGGTCACGTCCGCCGTGTGTTCCTTGTTATCGAGACATTTCTTTCGAAAAACCGATGAATTGATTAACCCTCATCGAGAAAGGAGACAAGAATATGGTCCCTTATTCCATTTTTTTTAATCTTTCCAACCCACATTAGTTTTCCTAAAACATACAAATAGAACGCCTTCTTGTTTTATAGAAGAGATGCTTAGGAGCCATACCGCTGACAATAATAGCCAATTGACCAAACTTTGGCGAAAGTAACTTTAAAAAATAAAATACCGGGTACGTATAAAAAATAAAAATATAAAATGCATAAATATTTTTAATACATCTTAATACTAATCAAATAATCATTTTACGAGGGCTGATGATGTCCTGAACTCTATGACATACAACACAGATATCATATGGCATTAAGCTTGACTTTCTCTGATGATTGAATCTTTAATGAATTGATATCAGTTCATGTGACCACTTTTCATCTCATATTTTCATTGTGAGAAGCTGGAAAACAAGGGCTATTCGAGACACTGCATTAAAAATGAATGGTAAAGAATTAGTAAATTAGAGTGAAATTAAATGCTTCATCAAAGCCGTTGTTAAACTTATTAAGGAACCCAAAGAAATATTCACTGAATTTGTGAAATTTACAGCATCCAATGTCTGTTTTATAGACACATGAGCCAATGGATTTCAATGAACAATAATGATATAATGAGTATTAAAATTGGGTCAAGGACTTACAACAACCAATGTTCTGGTTGCCAAAATTCAACAAATTATCAATGACAATGTTTGATTGACTTTAAGACACATAGCAAATTTGATAGGAATCAATTTGGGGTTAGTTCACACTATTTTAAAGAAACATTTGACAATAAAAAGGCTTAATACTCAATGGTCATCCTATGATTTGAAAAATGGGTGAAAACGACAGCATGTAAAAAGATATAAAGAAGTATTTAAAATAATCAGAAATTGTAGTTATCCACATTTGTCTGAAATTCAAAGAGATGAAACTCTAATCCATTGCTTTAAACCCTCAAAACAAATTTACAATAAGATGAACTTGACACAAACAGTAAAGATCTGAAAAGGGGTATTAAAGAATTGCAAGAGGACAAAGACAACTTTATATGCCATTTTCTTAAATATTAGTGGTCTTGTTGTTCAAATTCTTATTCGGAGAGGCAGTTCAATTTCTGGAGGAGTCTAGAAAGCAAATTTTTTGCCAAAAAATCGAGATGTTAAAGAGAGGACGGAACCAGATCCATAAAGAAGATTCAAGTGCAGGAAATCATAGGATCTGCCATATTCCAGTATACGAAGGGTCATGCTAAAAAAAGAGTTCTAAAAACAATCAAAAATAGGATAAAAATGTTATGGACATGTCTTTTAATTAAAAGGGAATATTTGAGTTAAATCATAAAGACTAAATCATTGAAAAGCGTTTTTGTTTCTTACCGAGCACCGAGGACATTATTTATTGAACAGCACTCGTATATATATATATATATATATATATATATATATATATGTGTATAAATTTTTTTTATATACACAAACTATATATATATATATATATATATATATATATATATATATATATATATATATGAAGTAGAGAAGAAAAGTTATCCAACCAGTGAGGTTCAAATAATTATTTCTCACATCTAAAATATGCCGGAATATAGACTAACTGGTGCACATTTTTGATATTAACGCACTTTGAAAAAAAAAATCAAAGTGCGTTTACTTTGTCCTTAATTAAACATACTTTGAATAACTCTTTAAAGTGCATTGTAATAGGAGCAATACCTGTAATTCGTAAAAGACTTCGATGAATTCTTTCACAAAGAAAGACCCCTCGATTAGTCTATATCATTGCCATTAAATAAATTCAAAGATAAAATGCACAATGTTATTTTTTTGATTTTGAAAAGATAGAAAATGGTTCAAATATCTAATTGTTTAACTACGTATGTCTTGGGTGGTTTTCATTTTGTGACATCAATTGACTAATTCTATATAATCCTCTCCTATATTTTATATACAATAATTTAATATTATGTCATTAAATGTTAAAAACATCATATTTAAGATTTTTTTTATCCCCTGACCAAGTGCACGTCTGTAACAGTAGCGACATTTATCTTACACTACACTCAAAATTTGAATTTTATAAATCAAATTTACTTCCACGAAATCCGTAATCTATTTTCGTCTGTGGATTTCTTAGAGGACCCTTACATTCAAGCGTTGCAGGTTTCGCTGTATTAATATCTCTCTGAGAATAAATATAATATCCCCAAAATTTAAAATCACCAAATGTGTTGATTTTTTCAAAATCTCTAATCCTGTCATCAAAAGAAGTTGTCAATTTGAATAGAGTGGGTCTGTTTCTGTCGTGGTGTAATTTCAATGTTTTGTATTTTTGACAACTTCTATAGAATTCTGAAACATACGTAGCATCATCCAACTCTCCTTCAAAGCTTTTAAGTGATTTTTCAACCTGTTTCAGATACGTTACTCTGTCGCCGTTAGCTTCTGCATTCTTTCTTAGAATTTCCTTGTGCTCTTTAGCTTTAGCTGATAGATTGTCAAGATAATCATTTTTCAGCCTTTCAATACGATTGTGGACTTTAGAAATCAAAGATTCGGTAGCCTCAAATACCTGTTCAGTTCCCTTCTCTATCTGTGTAATGTTTTCCTCTTGTTTTCTTTGTATACTCTTTAATTCGTCTTCCAGTTTTATCAATTCTTTAACAAGATTATCAAACTCGCCCTTTCGTATTCTTTCTGCCGACCCCTTTACAGTTTCTATTTTGTCACATTTTCTATGTTGAACACAAATGCACATCGTGCAACAAGGTACAGAATGATCCTTACAGAGAAACTCTATTGTTCTCCCTGCATGCTTAGGACATTGCTCTTTGTTTCTGGTTTTTACAGGTGACAGCTTCAATTCTTTTAAAGATATAACCTTGTGGTCCTTCGTCAAAGAAATACGCCTGTGGTATGTAGCACACATATCACATATTCTCTCTTTACATTCATAACAATATCTACTAGCTTCATTTTCCTCCTCGTCCCTTTTGCATGTATCACAATTTTCGTTTTCTTGATTTTTGGACACTTCGCTTAGGATTTCATGAATAGGGAACTGACTCGCCCAATTTATTGGTCTACTTATAAAGATTTCCACCGGAATGAAGTTTCGGCAAAATGGACAGGGGAATCCGACAGGAGCTTCTTTAGAATTACACGTAGATACGATGTGGAGCGACAAACATTCGTGACAAAATGAGTGTGAACAAGGTAAATACCTGGGTATTTTAAATTTTTCAAAACAAATTGAGCATTTTGTGAAGTCACTACAGTTAACCTGAAGCCCTACTGAAGATGATGCCATTTTATGCATACACGTAGCGATCCACACTGTCTAACTACATTCCGTTTTTTCAACAACGGAACATATTTCTGTTCCTGTAGACGTGACGAATGCACCTTCGTCATGGACATAATATATGCTTTCCTTTACGTTGCCCTTCAAAAATCAATCTAACCGTTCGTTGTTGTGAACTTTTGTTGAATTAAATCCTACTAAGTGCATTCAATTTTGCAAATACTGCGGATTGAATAAGGTATTGATGGTAAAATTTTCAAGGTAATTAAAAGTCTTTAAAAATCGATAATTGTTTACGTGAACCGACAAGTCTTTCATATTTACTATGCAGTTTAGATTTCGATCAATACCTAAAAATAGAAAAAACCAAATGAATAGTGGTTTAACATTAGTTTTCTACAAAAGCGTATTTGTTTGTGCTTTTCATTTGATACAAAACATTAACTCACACAAAAAAATATTTAGATACTTTCGTAGTCATCAGTCAGAGTGCATTCATCATAACTATAAAAAGAACATAACTACACTTCATGAACCTGACTGTTCTCTGGTATGCATGTACAACTCTCATTTCACAAGATTCAACAATCTTAAGCACATTAAATATTTATATTATATGTGAAATATTTACCAGGTAGGTCCAGAAGAATTGATACCAAAGGAAACCCAGTGGTTTTATGATCATTGGGATCACACTGTACGATGTAAGGACGGATCTATTGAAGGCTGGGAGTGGGATTATTTCGCTCCCACTTTTCTATAGCTAGTAAAGCCCGGGCGGTATTGTGGGATTCTGTACAATGAGAAGCCCGGGGGGCAGTAACACAGCCTTCTGCATCATGGTGTATTCTGCAATCCAACTGCAGATCAAGAAAGTTATATACCGTTTATCTAAACATTTTATATAAAAAAAGTAATTTCCTCCTGCTACATATTCATATGAATTAACAACCTTTTTGGAATAAAAAAAATGTAACCTGCAAAATGTAATGATTTTTAAAAATAAGTTTTTCAACATTATTGATATCTCATATTTAAAATCTTTTTTTAAATTTCTTCAGATCTTATAATTTGGGAAAATAGGTATAAAGGGATCAACATATCGAAACAATAATAAGACCTGCCCTGGTTCATCCATGTGTTGCCAGTGCAGATTCTGTTGAAGGATAAAATGAATGACCATCCAGAGGAATATATACATGTAAGTGTGTGTGGATAATTATTAACATGATACTGTGGTCAATCCCATGTCATTCTTATGTATATGCTATTCTTGCCAACGCTATTGAAGGACTGGAGAATGAAGAAAAGAACATTTGTCTAGGAATTAAGAAATACAACAGTATTCATATTAATGTTGTTTAAATTTACATCAGTGTCATTTTGACTTTCGTAACTTTTTAAAATAATTTGAAAATTTAAAGTTTCAGATTATTTTGAATATTCTATTCTTTGAAAAAATTTCATTCATTTTTTTTAAATCAGTCTGTCAAATTAAAGTTAAATACTACGGGTCTGTTTTTCTCCTCTTAAATCTTTTAATATCTTTTCCTACATCTTTAGAATTCTGAAAGATATAAAATATCCAACTTTTTTCCCCAGCGGTTAGCTGTTTCAGTCTTCGTGAGATCCAATATTCCTTTTGGAAAAATTCCAGTCTTGTTATATTCTAGTTGTTTGTTCGATATCGATAAACTGGTTTTATTATTAAAGGGACATGAACACATTTTCAGCTTAAAATTTTCCAAATTATTTTCCCATTTTTACTAACATTTAACGAATGTCTTTCAAATGATCATCAAAATTTGAACTTCAGTTGTCGAGATACAAGACGGATTTAGAGCTCCAAACCTTTGTTGTGTAAACAGGGTCCATGTCATGTTTTTGTTTACATAGTAAATTAACATACTAATTTATGTTCGTCCAAAGCAGACAATTTTAATCAAGAAGTTACTTCTTAACATGATTAGACAGTTTCTAGTGATTTGCTGAATTTCATTTTTGTCTAAGAGATGCAAGCTATACAAGCTATACAAGATGAAGCTATACATGCGCATTTATCCGTACATTTGAACATATTGAAAGCAATATTTCTTTTTCAGAAACGTGCGATGTCATAGAAACAGTAACTGGTATTTTCTGTACATTCTATCTAGATCTATAGCAAAATTTTTTTTTAAAGTTTCAAACAGTAATTTAATCTGTTTGACTGCTTTCTATGTTAAAAAGCTGACATTTTAAGGAAATAATTTCTAAACACAGTATAACGAGAGATCCATCCTACAGCAAAAAGTTTCAAAATCGTAAACGAGGTGTTAATTGTCCTTTTTAGGAGCTACATATCGACAGAACCGAGACGAGAATGGTAAATTAGCAATGTTTTTAGAACTAGAAATATGTCCATAGGACCTGAATGCCCCGCCGAGGATGTATTAGTAAAGCAACATGAAAAATTTGTATGTGTATAAAATTTAATCAGTTTGGTTCAGGCAGGGCTTATAGTTACTTCAGAATGAAAATGTAGGTAAGATTCAGCGTGCGAAGCAAGTCTGGAAGTGTCCATCCCTAGATGCATCATCCATGCAAGTTTGGTTCAGGCAGGGCTTGCAGTTACTTCGAAATGAAAATATAGGTCAGATCCAGCACCCGAAGCAAGTCTGGTAGTGTCCATCCCTAGATGCATCATCCATGCAAGTTTGGTCCAAGTAGGGCTTATAGCTCCTTAGTAATGGACCTGCTCCAAAAACTTTATCCTTGTTAATCATCTGGGAAATGTAGGTCAGATCCAGCATCCGAAGCAAGTCTGGTAGTGTTCATCCCTAGATGCATCATCCGTGAACGTTTGGTTTGGCTAGGGCTTATAGTTTCTTGGCAGCTGCAATAATTTAGCCCTCTCCGATTTCTTTTCCTTTGGGGGTGGGGGGGGAGGGTTACAACTCCTTAGGATCTCCGTAATGGTGCAAATGCGGCAGTGAATCGCTCCCGCGCGGATTTCGGCTCAAATCATCAGTAAACGGCTATTTTATTAACATCTCTTACCTGGACTCCAAAAAAGTAATTATGCAAGACATAAATCGATCCAAAAATATTCACAATGACCAATATATCGGTTATTTTTCGTGTATGTCAACATCACAACTTGAATTTATCCGCCATGTTTACTGACCTTGATAGATTTTATTATGGGACAGCCAATGAGAATTTAGAATCTATAGGAGCGGATCTTTCAGGAATTCCCTTATTTTAAGCATACATATTTCTGTTTGCGTAAAAATAACATTTGAAATGGTTTTATTTACCGATATTTTTGTGATACTTTTCAGCACAGTCGTTTATAAACATCGACATTTGCTTTTTTTAGTTGTTCTAAATTTCAAGCGAAAGTCTCAGTACGTCACGCGTGAACTGTCATGGCTGCTTCTGGTAAACATGCAGATATATTTTACATGGTTTTCGAGTTAAGCGGGCTATGTTGTTGACAGTGAATAAAAATTCCATCTTATAAGAAGTAAGTTGAATGTAAAAATAATTTAATTTGCCTTCAATCGCCCGTATTCAAAAAATATATTTGCACCATTACGGACATGCGATGGAATTGTAGCCCTCTCCAGAAAACATCAGATAAAAAAAATCGGAGAGGGCTACATTATTGCAGCTAAGTTTCTTAGGAATGGGCCTGCTCCAAAAACGTTTACCTTGTCACTTATCTGGAAAATGTAGGTCAGATCCAGCATCCGAAGCAAGTCTGGTAGTGTTCATCCCTAGATGCATCATCCGTGCAAGTTTGTTTCAACACGTGAAGTTTGATAACATCATCTTAAATGGTATGTTTAAAACTGAGCTAAACACTAATTTAAGAAAAGTGAGGTCAAGGTCAAAGGAAAGGTCATGGTAAAAAAATGTTGATGCAGTTGCATAGCTCTCATCAATATCTATCAGCATATATAGTTTGAGAAAATATCTTGGACAGTTTCTTTGGACAGAGCTAAACACAAAGTGTGACGGAAGGACAGAAGGACGGAAGAAAGAAGACGGACATGACAAACACTACATGCCCCGGCCATATTCATGGCGGGGCATAAAAATACTCTCCTTTAAGTATAAGCAAGATAACAGTAAGTCAAACGAGATACTAAGGCGTATGTATGAATTACTAAGTCATAAGTACAAGGTAATAACTTGTACGTACGAGATAATAAGTCGTACGTACGAGATACTCAGTACTTAGCTACAGAACAGGATAAAATATGCTAGGTATGATAGCCCTAGCCCTAACCCTGAGTGTAAAAGTTATGGTCAATGTTTGTTTTTATAAAGTAGATCAAACTCCAAGGTCAAATGGTCAACGTTGTCGGTACCCAATGAAAAGTCTTCTCACAAGGATTAAATATGTAAATAATGAAAGTCCTAGTTCTTACCATTCAAAAGTTATGGCCAAGGTAAAAGTTTAATTTGATAAAGTATGTACAAATCTCCAAGGTCAAAATGTCACATAAATTGGTATGAAAGGTCTTGTCATAAAAAATACATTTGTGAAGTATGAAAGTCCTATTAGTATCTACGGTGAAAAACATTATGGCCAAAGGAAAAGGTCCATGTCAAATTTGGGGTACCCAAAGAGAGGT